ACAATCATACACACTTAAAAGTATTCTTTTTTTGACATATTCAGCTGAGTAGGAGTTATTTGGATGAATTTTGAGCAGATTATTTCCTGTTTAGGGATGTTTTTATACAATTCTCTGTCTGTATTATCTATTTTCTATCATTTCTAACAATTCGATACAGCTGTAGTATGTTTTACAGTGTCTTTACACAATCATACACACTTAATTAGGCTTCTTTTTTGACAAAATTATTGTTATCAAATGCTGAGCTAGGTAGGTTACTGACTGAGTGGTAGTATGTATGTTATGTAGTATGTATCGCTGTCATTTGGATGAATTGTGGGCAGCAGATGCGTTTTTTGCTTTAGGATTGCGTTTTTAATACCAATTCTCTGTACTGCTCGTATGCATCGTATCATTTTTATTGCTTTTTTTAGATCAGAAAAAACAGTTTTGACGTTCAATTCAGTGGGTTTTCTCTGACTAGGTTAAGGCACTTAAATACAATTCTGTCTGATGTGTATGTTTTTACATTGTCTTTAACATATCATACATTAATGAACAATCATACACACTTAAAATATGGTCTTTTTTTGACCCCATATTTCCGTGCAGTAGGACGTTATTTGGTTATGAAATATTTTTGAGCAGCTTGTATTTCCTGTTCTAGGGAAAAGTTTTGTCATACCATTCTCTGTCGTGGTGGATATTGATCTATTTTTCTATCATTTCTAACCAAGAACTCACATAGTCCTTCTTTTGTTGGAACAGAATTGCAGTGATTGTTTGATTGAATCGCAGTGGTTTCCTAGATGGGTTTTCTGAAGTATTAATACAACGCTGCTTGTATGTCCTTTGACATGTTCATGTTGAACAACCTCATACACACCTTAAAAGGGGTTCTTTTATTTGGACAGTATCATTGCTATTTGGAATGCTGAGTGGGAGTTTTTGTATGAATTTTTGGCACATCCGCAAATTTATTGCGTTTAGGGATGTTCGAATAAGTTCTCTGTCTGCTTGACCCTCGCATTCTCTCACTCCCAATTCTTTTTATGCTTCTTTTTTTCGACATAACAATGTTTTACTTTGAATTCAGTGGTTTTCTCCTCGATAGTTTGTAAGGAACTTTAAATCGAATCGTGCTGCTCGTGTAATAATAGGTATGTTATTCATGTCCTCTGTACAATGTCATACAATCCTTAAATAAGTCATTCTGCTTTTGTCAGTATTCAAGGGCTGCTGAGTAGGGGTTGGTCGTATTTGGATGGAGCATTCTTGACGCAGGTGGACTAGCGGTCATTCACTGTTTAGGGACTGTTATTGCTATACCAGATTCTCGTGTCCTGCTATATTCTCATTGTTCTTCATTTCCTAGTGCACAAACTTAACTATTACTTCTTTTTTGACAAATTCAGTGGTTTCCTGAATCGGTGTTTCATGAACTTAATTTGAGTACAGCTGTTAGTATGGTTTTACATGCTATTTAACGACATATACCACATCATTAACAGCCATTTTTATGTACAAACTCATATGTTACCTCCGTCGAATGCCTGAGTTAGGAGTTATTTGGATGAATTG